AATGGAGGGAGGGCCGAGGGAGGGGAATTGGCTCCACTGTCTGGGCATATGCAGCCATATTCTTACCAGCTTTTTTATATTCCAGGCCAATTTATTCCCGAGTCATGTGACGATATCAGAGGGGGAATAAAAAAGGGGTATTATTTTGGGGACCAGCAAATGAATATTGGAAACTCAAAAGCCCGAGCGAGGGGAAAAGAGAAATGTTTGAATAATGGTGAAAGCACTAGGCAGGAGGGAAGGAGCATGCAAATGGTACCAAAAAGTAAAACCTCTCTTATCTTTCTGACATGACATGATCTACAAATCTAAGGAGGTAGACGTCTATGGGGTGACAAAGGGGCTAGGAACAGCGCAGATGCTCGAGAAGATGCCGTTCAATGGATTTTTGTCTCGTTGCAGTACAGAAGGGGGCAGAAGCGGTCCGATTACAAAGGGGTAAATATTCCGCGAGATGGATGGCGAGAGATCGCATCAAATGACAACACTACCCACACCGACCCAGAGAGGCAACACGAAAGTGTGAGAAGTAAGTGCGAGTGCATCTGCGAGCGAGAAAGTGACTGAGAATTATGAAGAGAAGCAGGAGGAGGAGGAGGGCGAGGCAGGCAGGCAGGCAGGGGCAGCAGGGTGAAGATGATGGATGTCGTCGCTGTTCGCGTTTGACCATGAAGCTTGTACTGTGTGTGTGTATGCAGATGGATCGATCGGTGGACCAGATGGATGGGGCGATCGCTTTTGCAAAAGGACCCCTTGACATGACATGATTTTGTAGGACACCTGTTTCCTCGGAGCGACACTGAAGCCCATGTATGTATACAGATGTACAGGCAGGTCTTTTTCCCCTCGACTCTATATCTTTGTCGCAAGCCCAGCCCAGGCACTCCTCCCTCCCTCCCTCCCTCCCTCGCTCGGCCTGGTGGACAACCTTGTGTTGACATGGCTCCAGTCCATGTCCATTCTCCCGACCCATCCAGCCATCCTGCCGGCCGGCCAGCCAGCCAGCCAGCCAGCCAGCCCGCCAGCCAGCCCCGCCAAGCCATGATCCGATGCGATGGCTCTGAGCCGAGGACCTGTGCTAACAGACTTTCACAAGAGCAGCAAGTGGAGAGGGACCAAGGCGACGAAAGGGACGTGGTCACTGGGGGTAGGTGGGTAGACTGGACCGACATTCTCAAGGGGCGAAAGGAAAACAACAGAACCGAACAGGAACAGCAGCAGCAGCAGCAGCACCATCCAGGGAGGGCGGACGAGGATGAGGAGGAGGAAGAGCAGCAGCAGCAGCAGGGGGCAAGGAGGCCGAGAGAGAGAGAGAGCCCATCCCCCTCGCTGCCCCATTTTCTTCTCTACCTCTGCTGTCCTCATCACGCAACGCCGTACCCCTGTCTGATTCGGGCTACACTACGCTACGCTACGCCACACTGGTACCCGTCGAGCGAGCGGTACTGCTGGAGCATTAATAGAGGGAGAAGTGGAGCCGGGCGGGGCTCGGAATCCCAACGTGAACGAACGAACGAACGAACGCAACAGAACGGAAAACGAACCGCGGTGAGGGTTTGGCAGAATTAAGAGGCGAGCCGTTCCCACCAGAGGGAGCTAGAAAGTGGGCTGTAGTGGGGATCTGGATCAACTAATTTCCCTTGCAGGACACATCGAGGTCGAGGTCCAACTCCCTCTCCTCGTCCCTTAAATGGCGGTGCAGTAACTGCTTCAGATTTCGCCCCTCCACATTATTCCAGACAGTGACCCTCGCAACATAGATCTCATAACTGGAAACTCGTTGCCTCATTGAAAGACAGAGTGAGTGGGATCCCCGGGATGGCGAATTGAAGGTGGGACGGGCGGAGACGAAGGTACAACAGCTGCAGCAACAACAAGCAAGTGAGTGTGTCCGACGATGTCCTCGTCGTTGTTGTCCAAGCCCTGTGTGAAGATTCGGTGGAAGAGGATCGGGGGAAAGATCACGAGGAGGTGGGGCTAAAATGGCGAAGGGCGAAATATTCCCGACGAAAAATCGCGAAAGAAGGGGGCTTCGGTTGGGGCTAAAGTGGCTACGGGGCCAGAGGAGGACTGGGAGTCTCGGGGGCAAGGGAGAAAGGACTCGATTGATTCGTCGCCGGAGGGGGGCCGTCCAACGGTCCATCGAACACCGACCGGCTCAGGTGTTGATGTCAGCGCTGACCAGTATCACAAGGGAGAGGGGGCCGTCCGTTAAAAGACCGTATGCCGTAGGATGTTGAATCGGACGGAACAAGGGGCTAAGGAGAGGTCCTGGATAGGCCCGACCAAGCGGCGGCCTGGGCGGCGGCATGGGAAAGGGAGCCTGCCATGCTGACGTGGGATTGCCTTCTGTCACCGGTGAGGTGGAGCTGCCCCCCGTGAACCCGCATGCCGAAAGTGTTCATGCCCGAAGCTTCGCGACTTGTAAAATAAGCCCCCCGACGGATGACGAGCCCCCATCTCCTCCGGTACCTCTGTCTATCTATCCCCACCCTCGCAATCTTCTCGTACTCTCTCTCTCTCTCTCTATCATATAAGCCCTGCTCCGGAACCGAATGGCTCCCGTGGTGCACACAGAAATGCCATCCCCCTTCTTGTGGGGGTAGGTTCAGCTTCACATGGAATCTCTCTCTCTCTCTCTTGGGTGTTTACGTATATGACCAGGACCGTCGGTCGGCCATCATATCTTGTTTGCGGGCACAGACCGGGGGTACGAAAGAGTGTCGGGGTGAGGTCGGAATGAGGCTCTGTGAAGCCACGTTGCCCCAAGTCTTGTCGTCCACGTGCCAGGGCTTTGGCGGCTTTGGTGGAACCATTCTGCCTCTTATTGGGGAAACCTCTCGCTTCCCCCCTCGCCCTCCTCCTCCTGACCAGCAAGCCCGGCCTAACGACGGACGGACAGACAGATAGACGGACAACGGGATTCTTTACGTACTCATCATGGGGCCTCGCTCGACTCTTCTCCCTTTTGTTTATCGTATACTGTACTGTACCTTTTCCCTCGCAGGAATGGATGGATGGATGTGTGGATGGATGGATGGATCAATCAGTCTCTGTCAATCGCTCCGCGCGGTGAGTGGTGGCGTACCGACCTTGGCATCTCGCGGCATCCCGGCGCTCTTGTATCTATCGATCGCTGGTGACTCGACTCTGACTCTGACCCGAGTCGCGACTTGACCCAACCCGCAACCCGCTCGGAACTAGAGTTCGCACCCGACCCGGAACTGCCCCGCCCTGGGCCGGGCTGCGGCTGTGGTCCCTGAGGGCGCGATGAGTCATCCCATCCGCAGTGTTGCTGACATGAGGTGACAGCGGAAAGGGATGGGGGCCCATGCCCACCCGGCCCGGGCTGGGCTGGGCCGGGGCTGGCCGCGGGCTTGAACGTAGACGCGATGGGGGTGCTAAGGGGGCAGGGCGGGTGTTGTTCCGTGAACCAGACCGCACTGTAGCGAGCGGGGGCTGGGGTTACAAGGCAGACAGGCTCACGACACGATTCCCGACCGGTTGCGACGCTCGGGACGGGGAAAGGAGAGGAGGGGGAGAGGGGACGTAAAGCGGCAGCGAGGCGAGCGGAGGGGGGAGAAAAGAGGGGCTCGCAGGCGAGGGCGGGTGCTCCGGGCAACGTGGCGCGCGGGCGGGGGCGAAAACACGGGCGGGCTATGCCGGCTGCGCGGAGGACACCTCCCACCTGCTCCCAGCTTCCCGGCCGTTCTCCCACTTCGCATTGGCCTTGACGCAGAGCGGGCGCTTAAATTAATGCGCGACAGAACTAATCATTCCACCTGCTCTAATCTTAATCTAATCGCGCTTATGAGAAATCTGGGAGCGTTTAAGCTGCAGTCAAAGCGGAGAGGTCAGGTCCGAGGGCATTCTCGCTCACCTGCCTGACATACACCAGCCCCTCCCTCTTGTATTATATTAAAGAAGCCCCCGGGGCTCCCTCTCTCAGAGGGAATCGAGTCCCCAAACAAGGCAGCCAAAATACAGCCTCCTAATAAATGAGAGCCGCCATTTCCAAAAGCCTGTAATCACACGACGCCGCGTGGATTCCACATCCTCGCACCGGAACACGGTCGGCAGCCGCCCTACGTTTCCTCCCCGGGCTGAACCCCACCCGCTAGCAGGTCGCCGGCCGGTGGCCGTATGGCCCTACTCCAGGCCCGGCGCCCCTCCCTGTGACTGCACTACGTCTGTCGTCTACGAGCATCCTAGTCCCGGGCAGCGCACCCCGCTTTCCGGGCGGCCCCGCCTCCGTTCTCATTTGGACCATGAATCCCCTTTCGCTCTCCGCCCTCGGCTTTCCCCATCCTGTTCCCCTCCGCTGCCCGCCCCTGCCCCGGCCTCCTCGATTCTGCCTGCCCGCCCGCCTGCCTGCCTGCGCTGCAACGCTACCGCAGATCTGCTCGGCTTCCCTGCCCTTCTTCCGTCCGTCGTCGCATGCCTGCCCGCTCGCCTGCCGGGGCCTGGGGCTGGGCTGGTTTGCTCGCCTCTCGGCCCCCGCGCGTTGGTTGCATGTTTGCAGGGCCTGCTGTATTTCATCATCGTCATTTGCTCCCATACCGTCGCAATGACCCGCCGAGAGCCCCAGCCCCTTTTCCCCGACCTTCCTTCCGGGCCTGCGCCGGGGCTCCGGTCCGGTTCCTCTTCTGTCGCGTGCCTGCTTTGCCTTTCTCCTGCCCCTGGCTGGGGCTTGCCTCCCGAGTCCCGTCCCCTTCCCGTCTTCCGGCCCCCGCCCCGCGCAGCTCTCTTGCCGCCGCTCGCCTCGCAAGGTAACTTACCCCGCCCCGCCTCGCTCTCCCCCTTCCTCGCCACCCTAGCTTCCGACAACTCTCTGATGTTGTGAAGGACGGACTTCCCAATTTCTTTCTCTCTCTCTCTCTCTCTCTCTCTCTCTACCTCTCCCCCAGCCCCAGCCCCACCCCCCTCCCCACATCCCACTCCCCCTCGGTCCCCGCCTGCCTGTCCCTGCCCCCTCTTCTTCTGCCGCTGGCTTCTGTTCTGTTCTGTTGTTCTGTTGCGCGAATACTAGACGCGCTCCACTTCTTCTTCTGCTGGCTCGCTCTGACCCTTTTTCTTCTTCCTCCTCACCTCCTCCTGCACCTTCTCCTCCCTCCCCTCCTCCCCTCCCCGCTCCATCCTTCGCAAGCGAGAGAGCCGAGACTGCACCGCGTCTCCTCCTCCTCACCCCGCTCCTCGTCGCTGCGATTTCTCGGGTGCTCGGGCTCGGGCCTGTGCTCCCCTTCTGCTGCTGCTGCTGCTGCTGTTGGCACCCACCGCACCTGCGAGTGTGGAGGTAATCTCACCCCTCCCCGACGCGCCCTCAAACCTGTCTGTCTGCCCGACTGCCGAGCCCTCGTACGCCCGTCGAGCGATGCGTTACTGCTCTCCTCGTTCTGCGCTGCAATTGGTGCTCGCCTTGTGCGCGTCTGCGCGTGCCGTTGTTTCTTGAGAGCAAGAGGGCCCCGTCCGCCTGCAGTCTTTCCAACCCGCTCGTCTGTCGTTGCTTTCTTGCAGGACACCGCTTCGCGCATCGTCCGCCCGGAGGCCGTTCGCTCGCCTCCTCGCCTGCCTCGACCTCGACAGCGACCGGCTCTCGTGGAGCGCTGGAGTGTGCAGGTCGTAGTTGTGATTGGGAACAGGTTGGAAATACAGAGCTCGCACGGGGAAGTAGTTTACTCGTGCGCCAGGGGGGACAGGAAGTTCAAAGGACAGGCTCGGGAGCAAAAGCCTCGACCAGGACTCGGATTTAGGTGATTCTTGGAATTCGCTGCGGCCGGAGGACTAGTGGCGCAGTAGACCTCTCCCGGAAGGCACCCCAGGCAGGCAGCCTCGGGCGGAAATCTGCGGAACTGAGGTTCCGAGAGGGCATGGGGAAAGGAGCTCCAAGATGTGGTAATCAGCTGCGTAGTCTAGCATTTTAGACAGAAGTTCCGACCATGTCAGAAGCATCTTCCATCACTCGTCACCCCTACAAGGCAAACACCGGGCCCCTGCTGAAGTTCCAGCAATCGTCGGATGCTTCATCCTTGCCGCCAATGGCACGTCCCATGGCGAGCAGACAGCTTGCTACATCTCACACCGCTGCCTCCAACGTCTCCGTAGCAGGTGCGTCGTCCTGAACGCCCGCCCTCTTGATAACCCCGAGCGCCTGTCGCGTGCCTCGCGTTTCCTCGTTCTCAAACTTCTCGTTCGTTCGTGATGCTTTCGTTGGCAGGCGATGATGGCATCGATGCCGAGCTGTGGTACGCCTGTGCTGGTCCTCAGAAGGCATTACCACCCGTAGGCAGCGTCGTGGCCTACTTGCCTCAAGGTCACATAGAGCAGGTAATCACAGCTGACCTCCCCTTCCCTTCCCTTCCCCTCCTCTCCCCTCGCAACATCGGTTCTGTGTCTGCTGATTCTCAGGCTGGTCTCCTAAATGGAGCACATCGTGCGAGGAAGTCTTGGCAAGTGACGGTTCCCGAGGCCTGACGCTTCTCTGCCTTGCAGGTCGCGTCTTTCAATAATCAAGAACTCGACGCCCAAATTCCTCGGTATAATCTGCCCGCAGTGATACCATGTATGCTCAACGACATACAACTCAGCGTGAGTGTTTCCTTGTCTGTCGAAGCTGCCCCCTTCTTCGCTTCCTTCCGCTGAAATGCCAATCCGTCGGTCTGTCGGTCGGTCGGTCAGCTCCTCGGTCGGGCCGTCTTGACGCCAACTCACGTGAGCTAAGTTTATGCCTCGCAGGCGGATCCTGATTCCGACGAGGTCTATGCGACTCTCACCCTGTGTCCCATGAGCGAGCAACACGAAGACTCGTCCGACTGCGCCGAGCCCCCGCCACCTCCCAAGAGGAAGTCCCGCAGTTTTACCAAAACCCTCACTGTCTCTGATACCAGCACGCATGGAGGCTTCTCGGTGCCCCGACGCGCTGCCGATGACTGCTTGCCGAAATTGGTATGCGCATGTGGAAAATGTCTGGATTGTGGAAGCTAAAGTGTTTCGCTATCCAGCGTACGGGCTTCCGTACCCGGAGCACTGTCGATGTTTGACTGACACTCAGCTCGTCGTCCATCACAGGATATGAGTCTCAACCCTCCAAATCAGGAATTAGTGGCCAAGGATCTTCATGGCAACGAATGGCGATTTCGTCACATATTTCGAGGTAAGCAAGTATCCCCTACACGTTCTGGCAAAGGGCATGGAGTCGCGTCGTTCGACGATCTGCATTACAATCCTATCGTGCCTGCGGTTCCCACACTGCTGTCTAATCGACCTTCATGTTTCTCGTCGCGCAGGTCAACCTAAACGCCACCTTCTCACTACGGGATGGAGCGTATTTGTGAGCCAAAAGAGGCTCGTCGCCGGAGACGCGGTGCTGTTTCTCAGGTGGCTATTGTGTCTTTTAACAACATACTGCTTTCTGTTCCCTCTGTACGGTTCACTGGGAGCTCGTGAGGCCCAACGCACTGCGACTGACCGATGTGACTTGTCTTCAGGGGTGAGAATGGCCAGCTCAGAGTAGGAGTCCGGCGTGCTCCTCGCCAGCAACAACTGCAACCCAAAGTGTTGACGTCTCCAACGATGCACATCGGGGTTCTCGCGGCCGCTGCCCATGCGGCAACGGAGAAATCTCGATTCTCTCTAATTTACAACCCTCGGTATGCGTCTCACCACGAGGGAAGAGAGCTGTCGTTGAAACCTCGGCGTTTTGAGAAGTTCTTTTCTTCGCACAGTGGCAGATGTTCGAGATTAGTGATCTCTGGGTCCATCGAGTCGTGAACTACGGGCAGTCACCCTGTCTTTCCTGTCTGTACATGCAATTTCTCTTGCCACGTTATGGACGTCGGCGAGAATTTGTAGCACCAGGCCTTAATCCGTCTGAGTTTCTGGATCCTTCTCGTGTGCTCAGATCTTGCCCTTCGGAGTTCGTTATTCCGTACTCTAAGTACCTCAAGGCTGTGAAAAGCAACTTCAACGTTGGCCAGCGTTTTAAAATGAAGTTCGAATCGGAGGACCCTTCAGATAGGAGGTTGGTTTTCTAACGTGAGAGTTTCGTAAGTTCTTTCGTTAATTTGGGTTCTCAGTCTTCCGTAGTACGTAGTTTCAAAGTCTGATACTTCCTTCACATACAGGCATACGGGAACTATCACCGGAATTTGTGATTTCGACCCTGCCAGGTGGCCTGGCTCAGAGTGGAGATCCCTCCAGGTCGGTAATCGACTCCCCACAGCTGTTCATTCTCACATAGCAATTATCTCGCCGATTTTCTTTGAGCGGATGAGCGGGTCGTGTGGTCTTCTTACTTCCATATTCTCACGTGCAGGTTAATTGGGACGAATCGTCCTCGAGCGAGAGACAGGAGAGGGTCTCACCATGGGAAGTGGAGCCCTTCTCTCCCTCCACGACCATCACTCCGTCGGTCAGTACTAGAAAGCGATTGAGGCCGGTCACCCAACCACATTCTGAGTCAGGTACAGTCCCAACTACTAATTCCAGATGCCACCGATGTAAAAGTTATTAGAGATGGTGATGAGTGTCTTATTCGACGGGCGTGGCTCTTTGTTCGCAGCAGTGAACAGGAATGCCGTCGAGACAAGTAAGGCGCAAACTCAAACGATGAGGCTAGCGAGAGCTTTCCACGGCGGTCATGAAATGCTGCCGTCATCAGCCGAGGAGGAGGATGCGGAATCTCTTTCTGCCAAAATGTCTTGGATTAAGAGAGAGGACAACTTCAAGAGCGAAGCGCAGAGCGTTGGCTCTAGACAGGGCCCGGATAGTTGGATGTCTATCAGGAGACCCGACCCAGTGCAGGTCCCTGACATGTTTAGAAATCTCCCGGCTTCGGGAGTGCCGGATCTTCGAGGTATGATTGGCATCGAGAGGCGCCAGCAGGAACACTTAAAGTTCTGCGTCAAGCAATATCGGGAAAACAAGGATGAAATCTCGGGAACTACTCTGCAGCTGTCAAGTCCCCGACCTCCGAACTTGCAGAATTACGTCAAGTCATCCACAGATCTGAATCTCTCCGTGTCCTCGCCTGCGTCGAGCAACAAGGGATCGAGCCTTCTTTGGTCCAATTCTCAGTCTGTAACGTTGCCATCGTATAATGGTCACGAGTCGACGAACGCATCCTCTTGGCTCTCGTTTAGACCGGGACAGAGCGATGTTGCCGCCTCTTCGCCTCACTGCACTACATTGTCAATGAGCAATCTGCCTCCAGCTGATTCTGAAACGTCAAGCCATCCTTCGACTCCGAAGAGTTATCTATGGGAGAAGAGGATAAGGATGGAGCCGGACACGAACCGAGCAGCTGCTCCCGTTCAGAGTGAGCAAAAATGTAAAATTTTCGGGGTGCCTCTCGACAAGCCAACTCCGATCGTGATTCCTTCTCAAGTGCCAGGATCTAAGGCAGTGAGGAGCACGGACGATGGATCAGGACCGAGCAGCAGTCGTGGGCTGGAGAAAGTCGTGTCTCCCAGTCCGACTTCTTCCGCAGTCGGAGGACAGGAGCAGGATAAGGGTCCCCAGAGATCCAATAAGACGTCGCAAAATTTCCAACAAGGTCCAGTTCGTAGCTACACGAAGGTAAGCCTCCTGTCACGCGATGACGATGCGTGAGTTTTGAAGCTTTCATGGGTGAACCTGGATTACACGTATCAGGGTCGGGAAGATCAGGCCTCGTCCGGGGGCTGACTTCTCGTCGTGGTCAGTCATCTGTTTAGTCAGTTTGTTCGTACGAGCCAGATGTTCGTTCTAGAGTGTGAAGACGGAAGCTGACAGAGCGGGCACCTATCACGTGCAGATTCACAAGCAGGGATCGTTCGGAAGATCGATCGACGTCCAAAGTTATGACGGCTACACCGACTTGTTAAGAAAGGTAGAAAACATGTTCGAGCTGAACGGAGAGCTGTTCGACAAGAAGTCCGGGTGGCAGCTCGTGTACACAGACCACGAAGACGACGTCCTCCTCGTGGGAGACGATCCCTGGATGTAAGTCGCCCCTAGTACATGGTTTCTTGTGCATGCGAGTCCACGAAGGGGGGTTGCAAGTGCACGTGGGGGTAGGGCAAGGGGGGTGGGGCGTTATGGAAGGGGAGGGGAGGAGGAGACTCGTACCACGGGGAGGAATGGGAAGGGGCTGGGATGGGCTTGGGCTTGGGGATGGGTGGATAGCAATTCTGACGAGGTCGAACGTTGACGCGTGCGCAGGGAGTTTGTGAGTTGCGTGAGGACGCTGAGACTGCTGAGCCCGGGCGAGGCGTCGTCGTCGGGCAAGAGCGGGCAGTCGCACGACGAGGACGCGGGCGCGGGCAAGGACGGGGCCAAGCGGTGCGACTCGTCCTCGCCGTCGGCGGGGGCGCGCGGCGACGACATGTAGGAGGCGCGAGCGCGCCGGGGGGCGAGAGCGCGGATGGCTGGCCGCTGGCCGCGGCCGCACACGCGCCTGTGCACGGGGCCTGCGGCCGGGGGCCGGGGGCCGGCGCTAGGAAGTGATTTTTTTGGCGAGCAGTTGCGGATATATGATGATGATCTTTTTTTCTTTCTTTAATTGTAAAGGGGGTTTTTGGGTTTCAGCATTGGTGTACATGGATAGAAGGAAGACTCGCTCGCTGGGGCTGCCCCCGCGCGGACTCGGGCCGTCGCGAGAGCCTGCCAGCGTTAGATAATGTGCCGGATGTCTTGGCGTTCTATTCCCCGCGGTCCTCGTGGCAGGGATTTTGGATGGAACCATCGGCTGGTAACAGTACTTTATAAGGGGAAATTTTTTGGTCGCTCTTGTGTTGTGGTTAGAAAGGGGAGTCGTCGTCGTCCTCGTCCACGTCGTCGTCCTCGTCGTCGTCGTCGATGAGCTGCTGTGAAAATGTTTCATTTGGTGTCCGCATACCTTGGCAGGACCCGCCCGAACGCACCGTCGCTGGCCCCTTGCGAAAGAGTCTGCCGCTGCCCTTTTCTGCGGGGTTGGTTACCTCCGGCTCAACAAACAGCCTTATGTATTTTTAGATGTGTCATCCCTTGTTTTGAAGTGGTGTTGATGGGTTCGTTCCTGATCCATGCGTTGGCACTCAGGCAGGATGTCGCATCCAGTTTTGTAGAACGCTTTGTAGGAAGGATGGAGGAGGGGAGGGGAGGAGGAGGGACGGGAGGATGGATGGAAGGGAGGAAGGGAGGAAGCAAGTTCTCGGGGGAATCGAGAAGTCGGTGGGAAAGGGGAGAGGGATGAATAACGTGACTGGGCTCCTGTGTGACTCGAGAAGTGCTCGCTCACTTCGTGTACAAGTTAGCCTTGGCGTGTTTGTGGCCACGAATCCGCTGGGGATAGAGACCAATGTTTCTGGGGGGCACCCATTTCTGGGTGTATAGAAGGAGTTGATGATTTTAGTCAGTCATGTGCGTTCAGTTCAGTTTATGGTCGGTGATGGAGCATTTAGTTGGTCTCATCCGTCTCCTCTTTCTGAGGACGAGGCTGCTGAACTAAACTGCCGCCTTATATCATTCATGTAAAAAGAGATTTGTGCAATTGAGGAGAAAAAAATTGGCGCAATAGAGTTTGTAGAGCCAAGCTACCATGTCTTGTGCCTGGCCTGCCTTTCATCGACCATATGCCTTTTTTATGTATTTAAATTCTTCATCTATTCTCTGTTCTTCCGTCTCGCCGCTCCGCAATATCATTATCATTCATCTGCTTTTGCCCACTGTGTGCGTGTGCGTGTGCGTGTCCATGCTGATATATCATGACCCTTATGACTCGGCCCTCGGCCCTCCTCCGCTCTTGATTGTTTCGTGCGGCGCACTCCATCGAGTTTCCTCGCTTCTGAGGTGGTCGCGGTCGCAAGTCTCCAAGTCACCCGTCCCTCCCCCATCCCACCATCCCCAACTTTTCTTCCCGGCCCCCTGCCCTGCTGCTACTCTACGAGCACCAGTCTGAGCGCCTGGGCGCAGTCGTACCTCATGTATGACAAATTCCGAAACTAGCAGCAGCAGCAGAAAGCGTGCGTCCACCAGTCGCAGCCGCTGCGGGTGCCCCTGGCGTGATGTATATGTCGTCCGTTCCCGGAGAGGCCACCACGCGGGCGGCCCCACACGAGGAGTGGTTCGCTGTCCACGCGTTTCGTGTGACCCCGGGCGGACTAAAGGAAACTGCCCTTCAAGTCGTATTCCTGTCGAACCCAGTACGCTTTTGTACCTTTACAGATAAGTCTTTGCCACCTACCCACTTACAATCTTGATGCAATGTTGTGTGTTAGGCAAGTTGTTACGGCAGCGAGTGACTGCGCCTACTTCCCCTCCCCTCAGCTCACGCCCAATCAGTCCCCCGTGCCCATGAAAGTATCTCCGCTCGTTTGTCTAACGTTACACTGCTGTCGACGTTCCCCCTTCTGCTCGCTCGGGTCTCTTGCTCCATTCTGTTCGGTCCTGCTCCAGCGCAGCTCAGTGCTGCCGGGGGCCAGTCTGACTGGGGCCCCTCCCTGCCTGCCTGCGCTGACGGACTTCTTCTTCCCTTCGCCCTTGTCTACCAGCGTACACACTCGCAACAGTGGGCGCTAAAGCTGACAATAAGCGTTTACCCTGTTCCCGCCGTACGCGCGAGGCGAGTGGAAATGGATAAAAATCTCTGTCCTGCCTGGTCTGTGCAATCTTAGTGCCGAACATGGTTGTACGAGGTCAGAGCTATCCATCCAGTTCAGCCGTTGACAGTCCGGGCCTCTGCCAGGCAGCTGGGCATGTCAAGCGCGATCCTCCGCTATCTCGACCCTCCCGGTTCCAGGAAACATACTATCTCTGTCTGAACTGAATCCGTCTCCCGCTGGACTTTCACTTCATCCCTCACCGAGCCGTGGCCTGAGCTGAACCGAACTGAGCTGAGCTGATCTGAGCTGCCGTCGCTCACTATTCTTTCCGCCCTCAAGGTGAAAATGAGTGGATCCACTGCCGTATTTCTTATCCGTGGAGTCAATGATAGCGGGATTAAAGTGGGCTCGGTGGGGTCGGGGCTCGGGCTCCGTCGTCGGCATGCTGGGAGAATGTGAAAATTCGAAGGGGGTTAATGCAAATTGCGGCAGGCAAACGGGCTGAAGAGGAAGCTGTTCTCCATATCTGGTGCAGCTGGAACTGGAGACGGACTGACTGACTGACTGACAGGCGAGGCGTACAGAGAGAGAGAGAGAGAGAGAGCGAGGAGAGGGGGGGACGACCCCCTCCCCCCTCCTTCGGACCGAGCGATGGATCGTATCGGGGGCGACGGGGAAAAGTACCGCGCGGGGCTGGCAACGAGAACGTCGTTACGTAAGGGTGAGATCAGCCACGATCTTTTGGCACCAGCACAGTACAGTCCGTCGCGCAGAGTCTTCATCTCTCTCCCAGTCATATTCTACAAATTCAGGGCATGCTTTTTGGCCAAACTCTGAGTGTCACTAGGCCTGCTGACAAGCCTTAGAAAGGTCAGATTCTCTCCCATCTGCTGCCCGAGTAGACAGTAGATCCCATCGGCCCGTGGCCGCGAACTGTGTCTAGGAATTGTGGGGTTGTGTGTTGGAGGGGGAGTAAGTGTGAATGTATTTGTATGTGAGGTGGGTGGGTGGCGTCCCTGACCGAACTGAACTGGCTTCGCCTTGTTCTTCCCTCCTCATAGCAGACATACATAGCCACAGTAGCTGTTGCTTGCATGTGATGGACCCATGTGACCCTGACCTTTCTTCGGCGTATGTATGTGTGTATGTATTTATGAGACACCTCTAGCCCGAGAACGAGTCTCTCTCTCTCTTTCTCTTTCGCACACACAGCCCCCTAGCCCACAGCACAGCGCTCATGAGCACCTGGAGCCGGTCCCTCGCACTCGAAATCCGCCACCCTCTCCTCCTCCGGCTCTACCCGAGAGAACTAGACCGGGCCATGCCCCAGCCCAGCCCCATTTGCCGCTCCCAATGTACCGCACTCATTGATCTGAAGTAAAGGAACAAGAGGGGGGAGTGGAGTAGGGGCGGAGAGAGCAGCTGCGCGGGGCGGGGCGGGGGGCTGCATTGTTGAGGCAGCATTGTTTGCTGGTGCTGGCGCTTTTGGTTGGTAGAGCTTTACGGCTTCTTTATGTGCTGCACATTTATGGAGTCGCTTGAAAGATAGGTCGTATTCCTTCATTGGGCATGAAGGTTGTATGCATGCTCCACTATACTTTTTCCCCCGGTCTTCGAATCTCCTTCTACGACTGCTCAGGCGGAGCGAGTCAATCTGAACCTCAGCTCGGCTCGGCTCGGCCCCCCTCTCTTTATGGGGATTGAAAGGAGCTGCAGCTCTAGACCATATTCATCCGGCTACATGTTCACTCGAGCTGTGCGTTGCTGCTGTCCTCTTGGTCACAAGCCCATCAGGAGCTTCGGCGCTTTATGACTCTTGTCCTCTACGATTCCGACCCCCACTCTTTTTGAGCCGGTCATCACTTTCTTTGTACTTATTCCAACGCACTTCCATCCCTATTTAGCTCCCTATCTGGAATATGGGGGTCCTGCTCGTGATGAGCTCCGCCTTATTCTAAGATTTTTTTGGGGCTTCGGATAAGACTATAATCGTATATTTTCCATTCGTCTCGAAGGATCTAAGTCAACAAGGACGCTAATCTGGTTCGACCCGGTGGAATGTTTCGCCCACATTTTAAATTCGGCCCCCTCATGAAGGCCGTAAAAGGCAGCAGTCAGCAGGATCTCGTATTTGTCACAGATGCGCGCCTAATTACTATCTTATATGTCACGTACTTTCCTCGTACAGGTGTAATTTGCAGGCTCCCCTCAAGCCGAGCCGGGCCGAGCCGACCCTTAAAGCGGTCTGAATCAGATATCTAGCACATCGCGATCGCATTACCGCATCACAACCCAACACACACCCCGCACCGCACCGCCATCCCCCGCGGCAACACGTCCGATTCACCTTGACCAGCAATGGATGAGCTCGCTCACGGCATTTGGGGTTATGGGGCCACGAGGGCCAAATCGGGGCCGAGTGCAAATGGGCTCGGGGCTTGGGGCTGGGCCTGGGGCTGGGCATGCATGAAGAAGAAGATTCGCGCGCAGGAGTACGGTAGAGTTGGAAGTGGATCTATCCGGAGACGAGCGAGCGAATCTTTGGGTTTGGGCCAAGAGGTCCAGTTCGCCCTCGAGAAAGCGCGTCGCATTTGCTCGTGTTCACTCTGAGGCGAAATTGCGGAGTGTGCACTTTGCTGGCTGGCCGGCCAGAGCACATTGTTGCCATTGTGGGGAGTTGGGGAGCTGCGCGTGCTCGAGCGTAGCGAATATTGGAAGCGAAAGGCGGGAGCGCGGGTCAGGTCAGATCACGTCAGGCCAGGCCAGTGCATCGCAGCGCAGCGCAGGTCGGGTCGGGTCAAGCCAAGAAAAAGCGCAGGATTTTCGTCATCTGATCTGATATTTTGAGGCGAGCGAGCGAGCGAGCAGGCAGGCACGCAGGCAACAGCGACAACAACTGCTACTTCCTCCTCCTCCTCCTCCTCCCCAGAACCAACACCAACAGCAGCAAGCAGGCAATCCCTTCATTGCACCGGCGAGTATTCGCAGATCGTACACACGAACTTGCAACGAATCTATCAGTGGGCGACGAGCTGGGTCTATCATTGCTAAAACGGCAACGGTATCCACGAGTAAATATAGGAGTGCAGTCATAACGGTGGCTGAGCCACAGGCCCAGCGAGCAAGCAAACCCATTCTCAGACGACGCAAGCGGCGAGTCCGAATCACGAACCTCCACCCCAACACAATCAAGGCCAATTCCATGATGGCCCCAGCCCCAGCCCCAGCCCCTCGCCCTTTCCCCTTCCTTCTCCCACACCTTACCTCTCACTTGCCTCCCTCTCTGAGCTGATGCTGAGCTAAGCTCTCTTCCGAAGCGAAGCGATGCGCGATGCGATGCGATGCACGGTCAGAAGCTTTCTTCCTTCCCGGGCCAATCCGCCGCGTACATGATCCACTGGCAGTCGCGCGAATGCTCTCTACCCCTAGTCCTATCGTTTTTTGCCACCATGTGTGTTCCATTATGATTCTTTATGATTCCGTTTTCAGGTTTATTCTCTAACCCGCCCGTCCGGCCCTCCCACCTCCAATCGAAGCAAGCACTTGTCTCTCAGATTCCCCCCCACCCCCCAGTCTTCAATCACTTGTCTCTCAGATTCGCCTCTACGTATGTATCTCGGCGTATCCCCTCCTCTCTCGCTCTCTCGCTCTCTCTCTTGCCGAATCCCTCTCACTGCCTTTCTGTCTTCGTCACAATCATATCAACGTTGAATTCGTTGTCGAATTTTCGTTTCTCATCTATTTACCCACTGTTCTTTCCGGCTGCATGTGCATGGCGAGGGAGAGTGACAAACGCGGAGCCTAATATAAGGCCCGCTGTAATTTGCGTACCGAGAAGCCATAAATATGAAATTACTTGGGAGTGGACTTTGGGGCCTAGCAGAAGTGGGGCTCACTGAACTGGAGTTACTGCCGGGAGTGACCAACGACGACAAGAGCGCAGCCCCCGGTCCCCTTTACGGGCTTGTAGTGAGAGTTCTTGTCTGTGACCGGGTGGTGTTCTTGTACTGGTTACCGTAAAGTGACACTTCTTGCTATGCTGGTGCTTGCCATGCGATGAGGCTTTCGGAGGTTGTCGTTACAAGAACTTGCGACAGGTAGGCTTGGCCACGGTCCGGTCCGGACCGCCGGTTAACCTTCGGGACCGGTTAACCGGTCCCAGATTTCTCCGGACCGGTTAACCGAAAAAAATTTCCTCTGGCAGCGAGGTACCCAATTCGTGATTGAATGTGAGAAAATTCGCGAGAAATTTTTTTCACAAATTGGTACAACTCAGCTCGAGTCTCTGAACTTCCAACCGTGAGCTCATTTGAGTCGCGGCCCATCTCTTTCCTTCCGCCATCGAAAATTTTTGGGTATTAAGGCCACTCCCCATCGGCCACGTAGGGGTCCGGACCGATGGTTAATCGGTCAACCGTCGGGACCGGTTAAAAATCGGTTAACCGTAATCGATACGGACCAATCCTGGACCGGTTAATATACCGGTTAACCGGTTAATTTGACCGGAAACCGGTCCACAAATTTTCCGAACCGTGGCCAAGCCTAGCGACAGGCAGTAGATGATGGTTGTTAGAAATCTGAAAGCACCTGTGTGTCCTCCTGTCCGGCCATGGCTTTGAATTTGTACCCAGCCCCTTTTCCAAATGGCGGGAGGAGAAGGCAGCAGTCTATGGAAAAGGATGGAGAGCGTCTCAGAATGACTCCTCGATCTAAAGATCCATGATTAGCAGCAATTGGAGCGGGCATGGGCAGGAGTCGATGAGGATATGGCATTAGCGCAGACAGTATCAAGGATGATGCCAGGAAAGAATGATGAGAGAGTCTCCTTTCTTGAAATGTCTCGAAATATTCCTGCGCTGCACGGCCTATTGCAGTCGTGGATGTGGCGAGGCTAGCTTCCTTTTCTGGGAACTTTAGCTCTAGTCTCATATAAAAGCGGGAGAAATGTCAAGAATCTTCTAATCACAATCAGGCCAATGATCAGATCAGATGTTGCATCTACACGTATCAGATGCAACGATATTCTTCACGCGACGATGATGGTGGAAATGTGACACGTAGAGATGTGGATGATGAAGGTACAATGGCTTGCGAGAATTATCGGATTTGTGTTCCCTCCGACACTTGCACCAAGATTCTGAATCAAGCTGGGATCACTTCATACTTAAAATTGGAGATCAAGGACTGAACAATTAAAGTAGCGATGGGTTGAAAGGAAATGAAGCTAATCAATTAGCAGATATATTATCTCGTTGACACCGCAGAGAAGGATGATGAATGCATAAATTATAATACATTAATATCATTGGTATGTGCCAAACAGACCAGAATTGTTATATTGAAAGTCCATTTAGCCAAAGATGAAAATAGTGGAGAGACTAAACATTTTGAAGAAAATCATACCATTTGCGTCCGGATGAACAAAACAAATCCCTGAAAATCTTCCATTTGCATCTGGAAAATGTGAGCATACATTACTTGTAAAGATCTCGATTCTGGAGTCTAGTCTAGTGCAAAGTTTGTGATCAACATAATCTTATAATTTGCGAAATCTAATCACATAAGGTATTCTTGATTAATATATTCTGTCAACATTAGATTCAAGAGCACAAAGAAGTAAAGTTTATACTTTATAATTTATCCATGATGTGATATGTGTAACGTGATATGTGGAGAGAAGGTGATTGAGATTTGTCAATCCATACGCTACATTTGGTTCCATTATATCATTTTAAAGGGAAATTCACGAAGGTATTTGTCAACAATATATTACAGTTGGTTCATATGGGACAGCGGAGAGATATTGCAGGGAGGCATGCACGTTTGACATCTCAAACCGTAGCATAAGCAAATGACAACACATTACTTATCATGTGGTGAGAAATATGGAGCAGATAAGGTTATTGTCATAACATCACTCATACTTTTTCAATAATTTTTGGTCTTATTTGCATCTTATTATAACTAAGAGCAAGATATACGTGGCAAAAATCACATCCACCTCTTTGCAACTTTCTCAGTCATGTCAACTAGGTAAGGATGAAGATGATGTGATTGATTGAGATTGATTAAACATATGTATTCGTAAATCAAGCTCTCATACCCTATGATTCGTAATGTTACTCATCCTACTCAATTGCTATGACTCTTCAGTCACATATAAATCATTTGAATTTATACAAAACTTCTTTTGAAAACACTTTTTTACATTTCAGTAAATTCTAACCATAAGATTGGGTGGTTTTGCATGAGAATTATTCATCACACCTATGCGACGTACTTTTTTCACTAAAAATATGTTGAAAGATTGAACCACTTCTCAAGCTTCTTTGACACATGTAGGCGGGACAAACCAAGTATGATGTAACTAATAGCGCTTAGAGAACCTTCACAAATCTGGTGGTCGTTGTTTATCTTATTTGTATTTTCATTGGTTGCATTCGTTACTTTCAAAGTATCGGCATGTGCATACCTTCATCTCACACAAGAACTGTTGCTAATGTAAGCTCTATCTACATCTCCTCAACTTACACGATGAACGTCGGGATCTAGTTTAGATCATGAGTATCATACTCTTGATGTGAATTCAAATCAAGGGCAGTGTGGTTGTATTCATACCTTTTTGGAAAAAAGTTCATCCAAAAAGAATCTTTTGTGATGAAGCTGCAAAAATTTTTTGCAGCTTCATCACAAAAGCTGCAAAAAGTATAAGATGGTAATAAGAAATAGGGTGCTATTGCAGATGATTTTGATATGTAGTTATTGTGGAGATTTTGCTGTAGATTTTGGCCACAACATTGTTCTTGAATCTATTGTTATCACCATCATCTTTTCTAGTGTGAATTACAGTTGAAATATATGAAAACGTGATTTAGAATTATATTTGAAATTTATTTCAAAAAAATAATTATTCTGAGTATTTTTATAAAATAATTCAATTTTTTTATAATCCAATTTTTTAAAAATAAATATAACCCAATTAATATACTATAAATATCTTTTATCTAAAAACACGTTTTGAACATTTCACTAAACCATTTGATCAAGTAATATTCATCATACACAATCATTTAGGAAAATATTTTTAAATCATCTAAATATTTAAAAATAATAATATGCTTAAGTAAAAAATATGGTTTTTTAATCACTTTTATCAGTCATCCAGAAAAATTTATTAAGATTATCAATGAGTAAAATAAATTTTTATATTAAAAATAATTATAATCAAAAAATATATTTTAATTGAAAATTTCATACAAACTAGATTAAATATGTTATTAGCAATTTTATAAACTATGTGATTTTCTTTATGAACTCTTTTCGGCTAGGACTTAATAGTAGTAAATTTGATGAGTACAACTTATTAGATTTATTTCTACAGTTTCCTGCAAAGTAATTTTATTGATTATGGATATAACTCAAGGCCTCATTAAAACTATTGTTCTAAAAATTGATGTCACTTTTGCCATTGATAAACTGCCGTAGATGCACATTTTTAAAATACACTGCCACAATATTTGAAACAAATGACATGGCGGAGATATATATACATATAGTTAGTGTACAAGATTTATGACATAAATGATTTGACTCATAAATCTTGTTTTTTTACAGCAGTTGCTTTTGTTCATTCTTTGAAGTAGTCAGATTGATCACTATGATGCAATGCCAATTTTTTGTATTTTTTGGTGGAATTTAACAGAAATATACCTCTTTGAATAAATCATTTGACTAATTTAACTATTTTTCCGTAATTTATTCATTTATTTCGAATTGGATTAGATAAAGTGGTCATTTTATGACAAATAGCATGATTTATTGCCTATAAATGTCTAAATGGTGCATTGAATCCGGTAATTGTTTTTTTCTAATGCATGTTAGCAATGTAGTATGTTTTCAAGCAAAAATCTAGTCAAAGATTTGAAAAAACTCATTCTTCTTCCCTTGATAGAGAAAAATCATACTCAACCAACTCTGTTTGCAAAAGCGCAACTTTGTGCTTTTGGAGGCGGATTAGTTTTTATATTTACGGAAATTCAATGGCCATATTTTTGAAAATCCAAGATTAGTTAAAAATGGTTGTCATTGAAGAAGCCAACCGCATCAAAACTGACTTCAAAAGTAACTCCTTATCATAACATAACTTCAAATCACGATGATGTGAACAGATTTTTTTAATATCATAGGGCTTAAAGTTGGCAAATAAAAAACGGTGTTTGCTCTTGATAAGGAAATTAAATCAGGCAGTGGCATTTCACCTACTCATCGACATAGTTGTCAGATTTTCACATTGAAAATTACTTCATTAAGATTGCTTTTTTTAGTGCAAACTTCAATAAAATCTACCATTAGTGAGCTCAGCATGTACATTGTACATAATCCTCTCTTTTTTGGGGTTCTAATAGATAAAGTAGTTGAACTACAAACAATTCTTGATCTAACAAAAATCCGTGTAAGTTTTTTTTGAATGATCATATATCTTGGTTTGTACCTGCCATGTCCAAGCAATCGCAGGAGTATTGCGAGCACAAGTTCAACAATCGCATGCATTCTTCAATTGGACACCGAGCTGAGGACGACCTTGGAAGTCCGACCGCGTGCTGAACGTTCATGGAAACATTCCCCAACTCTTTCATTGCGTCAAACTGGCGCGATAGCCTATTAGAGAAGATTCAGCCTCGCTTTTCCACCATCCCTCACTCATAGAAGTCGCCACCTTCCTTGTCTGGACCCTCCTCTTCCAACGGCGCTCTTGTTCCGCCCTCGCCTGCTCCAACCCCGCGCGTTCTAACTCCGGCGCGTGCTCGGTTGATTGCGACCATGGTGAGCATTGTTGCATCATTAACGACGTTACCGCCCCGTTATGGTGGCCTTGATGGATCATTCCAAACCATCATGCATCAAAAGAAGCGTCAAAGGTGCGATCGCGCGGTCAATGCGAGGAGCCGCATTGAAGTTAAGCTCGGGAGCAAGAAGATCGTTCAATTGCTCGCCACTTGGAAGTCTTTGGATGTCTAGGAGCACGCGGAAGGGAATGGTATCATCATTGCGCTGATCAAACTTGACATTTTCCAGATAGAGATCCACACGATGTTAGGAGTAGGAGTATATTAGATTGGTCGCCTCCAGAAAGCCTTCCATGATGGCACGGTCTCCGACCAACATGCGATAAGATGCATTCGCTCCACTCCCAAGCACGCAGTCACCTCTACTGGGCTCGACGCTATCAAGTATCACGTGCAAACGTTTGAGTTAGAAAATGGATCCCGTGCTCACACCGGCAACCAATGTAGTATTTTATCAAGGAAGGAGTAACATGATTATCAATCCACGCGGATTACACCCAGGTTCAAATCGCGGCCGGTGCCCGGATGTTGTCGTTGCCTTGGTGGAAGCACTTATACGCTTTCTATATTTCGGGCTTCATCTCAGCCGCAGCGTGCAAGACTTGTGCAATGCGTGTGTGCGTCTCAATATCGATCTGCAACAAGTCGATCTTTTAAGCACAGTGTTGAACTGCTCCTAGAGAAAGAGATTCATCTGGATGCCGCCATTTCACAACGGCGATTCATTTCAGAATTCACTATAAAGTTTGCTGGGAAGCACGCACCAGAACAGCTCCTACCTCAAATCATCATTGCGGACTCGATGGCCACTCTTACTCCGAATGAGGAGGTTTATGATCTTTGTGGCAGTCTAGACGACAACATCGCTTCATCGTGATCAACGTCGATTTAAAAATTCAGATCGAGATTGAGTACTATGGATTAAGTTTTGCGCTCCCTGTCTACGATTTAGAGCGCCCGTCGGTGGACTACTTTCAATCCAACCTCATGATGCAAAACTTTGTCATCGCTGAGCTCTCGAATGAGATCAATCATGTCTTGTAGTATGACGAGCGAGGGCAAGACAAATGCGTCGATGCCATGTGCAGTCTGCGGCTACGTCACAATCTGAAGATTGTCAATAAGCCGTGCCCGCCAAAGATCTTGTTCATGATCCGTGACAATTGCGTTGGCCAGAACAAGTCGTAGTGAATCATGCAGTTCTTCGCCATGTTGTTGTTGTTTGTGTACGAGAAGGTTGTAATCATGTTGGAGTTGCCAAGACATTCCCACAATGCGGCCGATCGCGTGGTTGCTCATTGCCAAAATGCGATCCAGAAGTAGAACTTGTATCATCCGATGAACATAATCGAACAATGGAACGGGGTGAAGTCCATCACTGCAGAATTCCTCAATCATCAAGACATGGATCAATCATTCAACTGCGGCTGGAAGCTGCTGCTTTCGAAGTACTTCAAGCAAATGACGTCGGGGTATACGCGTTCGTATTTCTTTGAGATCGATCAGGGAGTTTGCACGATGC